GGCGTTGGGGCGGAGGTGCCCCTCTCTCCTCGGGCAGCCCCCGTTTCTGACTGTGTCGCCCCTGCCCGGGGCAGAGCCCGGGCGCAGCCCGCGTGGCTCGCCGGGTCTGTGCTGCCCGGCGCGAGAGACGGGCAGTGGGGACCGAGCCACGCCATCCACCTTCCTTGGCTGGCTGCACTGTGCGCTGCCCTCCTCTCTGTGGGACTTCATGAGGCTTCACGTCGGTAACTATGGCTGTCACAAGCACTTCTGAAACTTTACCTTGAAGACCATGAAAGTAGACACCTCCCAGCCCCCAACCCGCCGCAGGCCAGGCCAACTTTATTTATTTATTTATTTGGTCCGGTCGAGGGGCCTGAGCTCTGGGCCTGGGCACTGTCCCTCAGCTCTTCAGCTCAAGGCAAGCGCTCTACTGCTGAGCCTCCTTCCCAGCCCCAAACCCGCCTCAGGCCAGGCCAACTTTAAAGCAGTCTAGGCCGCTGTTTCATCAGTAGTCATTTAAGAAAGTAGCTCTCTAAAAATGACTTCTGGAAAACTACCCAAACACCACTTTTGCACTTAGACAAATTAATACTCAGGGCTACCAGGTAGACCCTCTACCACGGGAGCCAGTCTCCTTGCCCTTTTCCTTTAATTTTTGAATAGTCTCCAATTTATGTCTGGGCCAGCCTGGACTCTAGCCTCCTGTTTATGCTTCCTGAGCGGCTGACAGGCACATGACACCATGCCCAGCTTTCTACTGGTTGAGATGGGCCTTGTGAACTTTTTTCTCAGATTGGTCTTGAACTGTGATCCTCTTAATCTTTTCTTCCTTTTTTTCTTTTTTTTGTCCGTCGTGGGGCTTGAACTCTGGGCTTGGGCACTGTCCCTCAGCTCTTCAGTTCAAGGCGAGCGCTCTACCACTTGAGCTACAGCGCCACTTCCGGTTTTCTGGTGGTTTATTGGAGATAGGAGTCCACGGTCTCTCCTGCCCGGGCTGGCTTTGAACCGCGATCCTCAGATCTCAGCCTCCTGAGTAGCTAGGATTACAGGCGTGAGCCACCAGCGCCCGGCTTTGATCTTTTCTTCCTAAACAGGCAGGATTGCAGATACCAGGCCTCTAACCCTCTTCAAAGTCTGTTGGAGAGCCTTCAGGGAGATCAAGAAGGACATGATCCTGCCCTCAGGAAGCTGAGTCTTAGAGTGCCTAGCCTCCTTAAAATGCTAGAAGGAAAATCTGGATTCAGAGACAAAGGTGCTGGGAAAGTAGGGTACATGTAGCTCCTGCCTCTGACCATCCCTCCCTCCCTAAAGCCATATTTTTAACATTCATTCACTTCATTAGTTCATAGGTACTCAGAGTAGTCAGGTCTGGAGAGCACAACAGGGAACGTGAGATTTGGGCCAAGTTGCTCAGTCACAAATGTGCTGAAAATAGGTCAGCAGCAAAGTACAAGTGGCAGCCATCGACCCTTGGGGCTGCCTTGGTGGGCAGGACATCTCCACTCTGCAGTCAGAGCAGGAGCCCCAGAGAGGCCCAGACACTCCCCCTTAGCAAGTGCTATGTAAGGACCAGGACATTGAGGGGTCCTTTGAGGGGCACCAGAAGCACCTGCTTCCTCTACTCTGCCAAGGGCCCTGAGTGTGACCAGTTAGCCAGCACCACCCTACCAGTGCCTTTGTGCCGTGGTGGCTCTGCCCCTACCCTAGAAAGAGCAGCACATCTTGCCCATGGGAACTTCTTTTTCTAAGAGATTGCCACAAGGATGTAGACAGGCCTAGGTGATTTTTCTTTTTTTTTTTTTTTGCCAGTCATGGGGCCTGAACTCTGGGCCTGGGCGCTGTCTCTCAGCTCTTCAGCTCAAGGCAGCGCTCTACCACTGGAGCCACAGCACCACTTCCGGCTTTTTCTGTTTATGTGGTGCTGAGGAATCGAACCCAGGGCCTCATGCTTGCAAGGCATGCACTCTACCGCTGAGCCACCTTCCCAGCCCTCCTAGGTGATTTTTCAAACGAGCATTCATTATAGAACCTTGGGATCATCTCTTCACCATCCTCTCATTCACTTAGCAAACAATTTTAAATAGGATGTACTCTGGAACCAAGTATAGGTCCTGGGAATGCAGCAAACAGATTCTCCCAGAGTGTGCACTTCTAACACCTGAGCCCAAATGGTGTCTGGCCCATGGTGTCTGATGCATGGTGAGTGCACAGCAAATATTAGTATATGGCCTTTCTCCCCCAGGTTTGCCCATTAACTCCAGCCAACATCAACCTTTGTTTCATTTGAGGGTTTTCACTGAGATGTAATTCACGTATCAAAAAAAAAAAACCCACAAAAACAACTAACCCTTTGGCTAGACACCAATGGCTCATGCCTGTAATCCTATAAGTATTGCAGTTCAAAGCCAGCCTGGACAGGAAAATGTACAAGACTTTATCTCCAATTAACCATCAAAAAACCCAAAGAAGCCAGCTGCTGGTGACTCTGCTTAGCTACTCAAGAGGCTGAGATCTGAGGGTTGCAGTTTGAAGCTAGCACAGAGAGAAATCTGTGAAACTTACCACTAATTAACTACCAGAAAAACAAAAGTGGAGCTGTGGCTCAAAGTGGTAGAGCACTAGCCTTGAGCAAAAAAGCTTAGGGACATTGCCCAGGCCTTGAGTTTGAGTCCCATTCTTCCCCCCACCCCCTAAAAAAAAGTTGGAAATAGAGCTGTGGTTGAAGTGGTAGAATACCAGCCTTGAGTGGAAAAGAATCAGGGACAGCACTCAGGCCCTGAGTTCAAGCCTCTGTACCAGCACAAATAAATATAAATAACTCTTTAAAAGTATACAGTTCAGGGCTGTGAAGGTGGCTCAGTGGTAGAGCACTTGCCTTGCATGCATGAGGCCCTGGGTTTGATTCCTCAGCACCACATATGCAGAAAAAGCTGCAAGTGGCGCTGTGACTCAAGTGGTAGAGTGCTCGCCTTGAGCTGAAGAGCTGAGGGACAGCGCCCAGGCCCAGAGTTCAGGCCCCACAACCAGCAAAAAAAAAAAAAAAGTATACATTTCAGTGTCCTTACTTTAGTCACAAAATTGTGCCATCTTCACCACTAGGTGATACTGGGAAGGGAGAGAGAGAGAGAGAGGGGAAAAGTTGAGAGGTATTTGATCCATTCAACTCTGTGACATCATCGACTACTAAAATGGGAAAAGAACTGGTCTCAGTTACCCATGAAGATAACCCTAGCCACTACAGAGGCAGAGATAGGGAGGGCCACTTTAGGCAGAAAGTTTGAGAGAGGGAGAAGCTGGCACAGCAGCAGGCACCTGTCATCCTAACTACAGGGGGCCGGGAAGGTCGCTCAGGGGGATAATGCATGAAGCCCTGGGTTCGACTCCTCAGCACCACATAAGCAGAAAAGGCCGGAAGTGGCGCTGTGGCTCAAGTGGTACAGCGCTTGCCTTGAGCTGAAGAGCTAAGCGACAGTGCCCAGGCCCAGAGTTCAGGCCTCATGACCAACCGAAAAAAAAAGAAAAAAAAAAAAAAGATAAAGGACTGGGGTGTGGCTCAAGTGGAATAAGGCTTGCCTGTGCACGTATCTAGCAAGCTCAAGGTCCTGAGTTCAAGGCTCCAGGTTCTTAAATTTTTTATTTTTTTGTCATTCATGGGGCTTGAACTCTGGGCCTAGGCGGTGTCCCTCAGCTCTTCAGCTCAAGGCAAGCATGCTACCACTTTAGCCACAGCATCATTTCCAGTCTTCTGGTGGCTAAATAGAGATAAGAGTCTCATGGGCTCTTCTGCTTGGGCTGGCTTCTAACTGCAACCTTTGGATCTCAGAATCCTCAGTAGCTAGGATTACAGCCATAAGCCACCAGCACCCGGCTTTTAGAATCATTTTTAACAAGGCCACTCTGCTTGGGACCAGAAGTTTGTCCCAGGGCTATACCATGTGATTCCAGAAATCAAAGGAGGAATGATAGTATTCCAGCAAAGCCCTTCTCCCTCCACCCCAAACCCAGTGTAAGATGGACACTTTGGCTGAGGTTCTGTGTGGGACAAATACAAGGACCAAGCCAGGAGGACCAGTGAGGTCAGTGCCAAGTCTTCCACCTACATGTTCTCATTGGCCACCCAATAAAACCTAGTAGACCCCGCCCCTTTCTTCTCCCTCACACAGTGGAGTCTGTCCTGAGAATGTGCCTATGGCCTCCACACACCCTTGCCCATGTCCCTCTGCCTCACCCTCAGTCGTCTGGCCCCGTCTCAGTTCTCCCTGCCTTAGATGCAGTCTGCACTCCCTCCAGGACCTCTGCACATACCTGAAGGCAGGAACTGGCAGCTTTAGAGGACTCCACTGCATGTAGAGTCCTCTAGGCAAAAGGGACTGCATCCCAGGCTCAGCCTGACAGGCTTTCAGTCGGGAAGGTGATCCTGACTACCCAAGGAATATAGGACCTACCCTGCCAGCACAAGCTGTCCTTATTCAGAAGGCCAGGAGTGCCCCATCTCTGAAGATGGGACTCTCGTCCCTTACCTTTCTCAGCTCAGTTGACATACCTCCAGACCCACATGTCCTTCCTGGAACCTTCCAGACTCCTGGGCCTAGGTCAGAGGGGATGGCAGGCTAGTCCCTAACTAGTAGCTGTCAACACTGCAAACCCGCCCCGCTGTCCCCTTGCTGCGACCCTCCTGGTGGTTGTGCCGGATGGCAGCCAGGGCTGCCAGAATACACTCCACAGGGTCGTGCTCCACCACACAAGGCCTTCTTTCACCCAGGTTCACCCTGAGCACCCTCTTGGGTGGGGTCAGGCAGGCAGACCCTTCCCATGAAGGGCCTAGAAACCAGCAGGAGAGGAAGATGGAGGGTCCTGGGAGAGATCCTTGGAAAAAGGGAGAGGATAACGGGAAGGCAGGTCCTTACTCTCTCTATTCTCTTGGGGAGTTACCACCTTCAAAATACCCTGCTGTGCCTGGTGCTGGTGGTTCATGCCTATAATCCTAGCTACTCTGGAGGTTGAGATCTAAGCCAGCCTGTACAGAAAAGTCCATGAGGGGCTGGGAAGGTCGCTTAGTGGTGGAGTGCTTGCCTCACATGAGGCCCTGGGTTTGATTCCTCAGCACCACATACACAGAAAAAGCCGGAAGTGGTACTGTGGCTCAAGTAGTAGGGCGCTAGCCTTGAGATGAAGACCTGAGGGACAGCGCCCAGGCCCAGAGTTCAGGCCCCACAACAGGAAAAAAAGAAAAGTCCATGAGATTCTTATCTCCAATCAATCAGCAAGCAGGAAGTAGAGGTATAGCTCAAGTGGTTAGAGCCCCAGCCTTGAACAGAACCCTGAGTTCAAGCTCCAGTACTGGTATGCACGTGCACACACACACACATGCTGCTTTAGGAGATGCATGATTTGTGAATGGAGAGTCCACTAGGCAATGGAAAGAAACGTGTTTTGTGCAAGACCAAAGGGCTGTCTGCATACCTGCAAGACAGAAAAAGATAAATGTGAAAAATGAGCAATTATATTTGATCAAGGTTTTATAGAAATAACCTGGAAGAGCATTCGCCCAATGTGACATGTGACTGGTAGAGAGGGGTAATGGATGGCAGGGCTACCACTTTCTACTTTGTCTCTTTTCATTGTGAATGCAAATGTGACAGGTTTGTTTTGTGACAGTGCTTGGGACTAGGGCACTGCTCCTTGGCTGTGTTGTACTCAAGGCTGATGCTCTGCCCTTGAGCCACAACTCCAATTCTGGCTTTTTGGAGGTTAATTGGAGATAAAAACCTTATGGCCTTTCCTATCTGGGCTGGCTTTGAACTGCAATGCTCAAGTCTCGCCTCCTGAGTAGCTTGGATTGTATAGGAATGAGCCACCAGAGCCCTCCTCCTCCACCACCAGAGGAAGGACAGGAAAGCTGACACAAAGGCTCGTACGTGAACCTGCACTGGATCCGGGCTGAGCTATGTGGGAACACTGAGGGTCTGAACTGATTTGCCTGTTGTGGAATCCCTGCAGGACAGCAGCTTGGCGCTGTGGTACTGAGTGGTCTGCATATCCACTCTCATCCCTCCATCCTCTCAGGAAGGCCTGAGTGGAAGAAATGGCTTCTCTGCCCCCTTTACTGAGGCCCTAGCATGGGTCTGCCCAGTGACCCTCTAGTCATTGCCCAGTAATGAGTTGACAAGTTTTCAGGTCCTTCTGAGACTTCCTTGATCTTGGGGAGTGGGAGAGTGGGGAGATATGGGAGTCCTGTCAGACTCAAAGTGACACCATGTGTTGGTTGCAGAGATTATTAAAGAAGCTGCCCTGGGTGTCTCAGCCCATGGGTCAGGGGACACTTTCCATACACCTGTGGTGGAGGAGGAGGCAGGCATCCCAATACCAGCACCAGGGCTCCTGCAGGTCACTGAGAGGAGGCGTAAGTATCAACAACCAGCCCAGCATCCTGGGGGGCCCTGTCTCCCCGGAGAGCGACGCAGCCAGTGGGGGCCGGGGCGGGCAGGGATGGCAACAATGCCACATGAGAATGGTCTGGGCTCAGCACTGAGCACAGAACTTTTTATTTTATTTTATTTTATTTGTGAACATACTGTACAGAGGGGTTACAATTGCATGGGCAGGATAATGCGTACATTTCTTACCAAGCATTGCAGCCTCCTCCTTTGTTTACCCTTCCCAGCCTCCCCCCTCCCCCCATCCCAATCCTTCTCCTTCCCCCCTCCCCCCCACCCCCAGAGCACAGAACTTTTATAGCTGTGCCTCAGCTGTACTGCCTGCACAATGGAAGATCCCAGAAAGTGTTCCAATATTGAATGTGCAGAGATGATTGACTCCAGGTTTGCCCACATCTTACTCTGTGCTGGCTTTACATAGAAAGTTCTGGCTCAGGGGCTGGGAAGGTGGCTCAGCGGTAGAGTGCATGCCTTGCAAGCATGAGGCCCTGGGTTCCATTCCTCAGCACCACATGAACAGAAAAAGCTGCAAGTGGCGCTGTGGCTCCAGTGGTAGAGTGCTAGCCTTGAGCTGAAGAGCTGAGGGACAGCGCCCAGGCCCAGAGTTCAGGCCCCAAGACCGGACCCAAAAACAAAAACAAAAACAAAAAGTTCTGGCTCACCCGCTGGCTGTGGGGCTTCAGAGCAATCACATCACTGTGGGGTGACTCTATCTCCTTCCTCCCCGCCTCCAGAGCCCCTGAGCAGCGTCTCCTCTCTGGAGGTCCACTTCGACCTACTGGATCTCACTGAGCTGACCGACATGTCTGACCAAGAACTTGCCGAGGTCTTTGCAGATTCTGATGATGAGAATTTTACCAATGAATCCCCAGCAGGTGAGGCTGGCCTGGGGCTTGGAGGGATGAGAGGCATAGGAGGAGGCCTGAAGAAGCCCATGCTGCTGCTCCCTCAGGACCCACCATGAAAGTTTCACACCAATCTTGTTTAAGTGCTTTTCACTATCACACCATATATTTCACTATATATGTTTTACATTACAAATTGTCTAATGGGGATTTATCTCCCATTACACGAACCTCTCCTTAGCCTTACTTTGCAAGTGAGCAATAAGAAGCAAAGCTGCTGTCCCTTCAAAATAGCACTGGCCAAGCACAAGGTGGGATGGGGCATGCTGAGCAGCCCTGGTTCCTCTGTGGATGCCGAGGACACACGGTCATTTTCCAGAGCTCCAAAATGTGTGGGAAAGGCCAGCCCAGAAGTCTCCTTTACCCTTCCTGTTCATCTCACTCAGGCAGAGCCTGACGTGCTGTCTCCTCACGCCTCCCCCACAATCGCTAGTCAGAGAGTAGGGTTCACGTGCAGTCTGCAGTCTGTCTCCAATATGGCCAACTATCAGCCTCAGGCCGAGGGAGGGCGGGCAAAAAACTCAGCCTCCCCATTAGCCTGGTTCAGCTTCTGTTCTCTGACCTCCAGGCCCAGTTTAGAACCTGAGTGACGCATGGCCCAGGATAACTCCCCCCCACCATACCCCCCTACCCCTCCCCAGCATACCAGGCCCAGGCTGGAACCAACAAATGTACATCTAGTGCAAGGTTAAGGTATGCACACACATACACCCCTCCATCCCCACCCAAGGGCTCACAGAATGTGAGAACCTTGTCAGCAGACCAACTGCTCACATGCTCCCTGTGAGGGCATGTCACATGTTGCGTGTCCCCTGGGAGCTTGAGTATGTCAGAAACAGGAAGACCCTGGAACCGCGCTCACGGGCACCCTTGCCCCAGCTGCTCTGGGCGGAGGGTGGCAGGGGGTCGGGAAAGGGGTCCAGCCACACAGCCCATACTGAGATGACGTGACTCTGTGACAGGGTGGAGGCTTGGAGGCTGACTGCATCACTGGTGGGGGGGAGGGCGTTTCTGGGGAGACCCCACACCCTGTTGTCTTGACAAGAGCCAAAGCTAGGCTCCCGAGGGGAAAGGGTGGCAGTTGCATCCTCAGAAGCCCCCAGGAGATCGGCAAGTAGAACAGAGCCACCATGTGCCCGCCCCAGCCTCTGACCTCTCCTGTGTCCCCACCAGGTCTGCAGCCATTGCCCCGGGCAGGCTGCCTGCGCTCCCCCTCCTGGACAAGAGCAAGGGCTGAGCAGAACCTGGAGAAGCAGCCCCTTGGAGACCTGGAGCGGCAGAATGCAATTGTAGACACTTTCCTCACTGTGGAGGGGCCCAAGGAGGACTAGTGGTCCAGCCTTCCCTGGAGCCACAGGGCCAGGCCGACCACCACTGCGATGGCAGCTGGGGATAGTCCTCACCCCAGGGCCGTCTCCTCCTACCCAGGACTCCAGCTGTTTGCCTCCTGACGCCACATCAGGGCCCCGGGCACCCAGCACAAGTTTAGCCCAGTGGCCTTGCATCCAGCTGGTTTCTGCACCCTGGACCAGGGACGACACATGGAGTGACTGCTCTGGCAAAACCAGAGTAGACAGCGGTGAGCCTTCCGGAAGCTCGTCTGTAGGACCAGTGCTCTTGTCTGCCACCGACCCCCCATCAGGCTCAGCGTGAGACGGCAGCCTGTGAGGGACACTTCAGGAACCCTCAGGAGTGTGTCCAATGTGGGAGGTGGGCTTGGGGATGACTCTGGCATGCTCTGCTGCCCAGCCACGCATGTGGGAGGGTGGGTTCGTTCCCAAACTTTCCAGATTAATTTCAATCCTGCCCTTTCCCTGTGCCACAGACAGGCACCACTGGTTCCAGGTCCGCTTCTCCTAGTTATGGTATATGACAGCTGAGAGCTGGAGGCCTGGCCCACCTCCTCCCTAGCTCAGAACACCAAACGCCATCAGACTGCCTCAGAACCTGTGACAGCTCCTAACCGGGGGGGGGGGGGAGATCCACTTTCACCCTTTCCTACTGTCTGTAATACATACTTGTGCCTGTCCCCCACTGTCCAGTTGTATGGGCCACCCAGTCTGTCAACTCAGTAGGAGGCTCTGAGACCCTGAGGGTCTGTGTCCTGGGAACCCAAGGATGCACAGGGGAGGCAGGACCAACCAGCTGCTCACTCTGTGGTGAGATGTTAGGACACCCAGCTAAGCCTTTTCCAGTTACTGCTTTTTATGTGCTAAAGGGCACTGATGATATGACCACGAACCAGAAAATGGTTTTGAAATAAAGGTTTAAGCTTGCTCTTTGTCCCCAAGCCAATCTTCTCTACCCTTTTCTCCACTAAAGCCTTTCTGGAGAAGGAAAACAGGCTCCTGATCCTCACTCTCACTGGACTGTCCTGCAGAGATACCCCAGGCATACCTTGGGCTTTTGCTGTGTGCAGTGGCCATCAAGAGGCTCTTTTCTGAATAAAAGTCCAGTTCCTGCCTGACCAAGTCTCCTAAAACAAAAACCATCTCTGTTTCCAAGACAGAACACAGCAGCTGTCTCTTTCGATCTAACCACGGCAGCTGTGAGCCTCTGGCCATACTTTTGCTAGCAAGGTTTCTCCTATTCCCAAAACCCCAGTCCAACCTCCTACTGCAGCTACCATAGAGCCATTTATAGAGTGGGATTAGAGCTTCACCACCAACTGAAGATCTAATCATGGTTCTTCTTTCTAGCGGACAGCAGGGTGCCATGGAGGGCTCTGCTAGGCCGTGCTATATGCTGCCCGATTGGGTGATACACTTCAGGAATGTGTACACTGGATTTCAAGTTGCTAAGGAAAGCAAAAAAAAAAATTTTTTTCCCTGTTGGTCATGGGGCTTGAATGCTGGGCCTGGGCGCTGTTCCTCAGCTCTTCAGCTCAAGGCTAGTCCTCTACCACTTGAGCCACAGCGCCACTTTGGTTTTCTGTCAGTTTATTGGAGGTAAAAAAGTCTCACGGACTTTCCTGCCCGGGCTGGCTTTGAACCGCGATCCTCAGGTCTCAGCCTCCTGAGTAGCTGGATGACAGGCGTGAGCCACCAGCGCCAGCTAAGGGACAGCAGTCTCGGCAAGTCGTGGCTTCTGAGCACACCACTCCCCCTCCCTTCCCCTCACAGAAGGCAGGCAGGCTGAGAACACCAACCAGGAGGACCCGAGGCTGCCAGCACTAGCTGTGCCCTGTTCTGGCTATTCCCATCCACCTCCTGTAGGCTCTTTTACCAGCTGGCACAGCAAGAGATTCCCCAGGTGAGCAGAAGAGAGCCACAGCTCTGGCTTACTCCAGGGATGGATGCTATAGGCAGAGGGGGACACACACCCACTCAGTCACACAGGTGGACAGGAAAATTGATAGTTGGTGGGCACTTATAGAGCAAGACACAATTCTAGTTTATTAGCTAGTAACTTGTGGAAGATGGGGACATTAACACACAAGACAACTAGATCAAACGGGGTGAAGGAAGTGGAAAACTTTAAAAAAGTATAGGAACACTGACCTGAGTGACAGGAGCAGCAGGTGTGTCAGATGGGGGTATGCTAATCTCTGAGGTCCAGGACACACAAGAAGCCTCATCCTTGGATTACCTCAAAAGGCCTGGGTGACTGTGGACTGTTAGGAGGTGACAGATCAGCGGGCATGCCAGTTTCACAAGAGACAAACACAGGGGACCTTCTGATCAGCCAATGAGGTGGCCAGCCCCACCGCTGAGCCATGGCAGCAACATCACGGTCCCATAAGGTCCTGGAAGCCCTGCCACAGACATTAGGACAAAACTGGCCCTTCCGGGGTTGAGGGACCCAGGCCAGGACCTCAACAAGGCCCCCAAGTAGCTCAACTCATCTGGGTGGGAAGACGCCACAATACAGGTTGAGCCCTAGAGATTTAAATTCTTTAATAAGGTATAGTTTATAAACAGTAAAAGTTGAAAGCACCTGTCCCCATTGGAAATTCAACATTTGAGGCTCTGAGGCAAACACAATAGCTTGGAAAATGTACTGCAAGGTCCTGGCATCTGGCCTCAGACAGCCACCAAGGGAACCTGAGCATACACAGGCATGCACGACAGCATGCCTGGTCACTCAGGAAGCCCTGAGGAACAGTTGGTTGCGCAGAGGTGTCTCCCTAGATGGCTAATACAGCTGATGACTTGTTACCAACTTACAACCTGTGATCCCCACACACCCAAGCCTCACGCACTCAGTCCCCGATCTTTACCATACCCCAGGACCACCAAGAACAAGGTACCTTTCAGCCTAATGCATCAAAAGAACTTGGTACTCATAACCAAGAGCCAGCCATCCTTTACTCAAGAGAAAGCTACTAAGCAGGAACCTGTGAGGTACCCATAGGTGCCCTGCAGACCCTCCCTCAAGGATAAAAGGAGGCCTTGGAGCTCAGGTCACACCCTCTCTGTAATTCTAACTGAAGGGGCTTGGGGGCAAAGTGGCATATGAGGGAATGGAATTGAACTTGACACTACCCAGTAAGGCAGGTCAACCCTAAGAACAGGTTCAAGTTCTAGTTCTCCCTCACACTCAAATGATATACCAGAAAGCCTAAAGGTAGGACCCAGGGATGCCCTTTGAGTCTACCCTTCACCAAAGGGTGGTGACAGATTTCCTTCATAAGAACTGGTCAACTTCTCATCAAAAGGGGACATTAAGAACCTAAGTCTAGGCTGGGTGCCTGTGGCTCACACCTGTAATCCTAGCTACTCAGGAGGCTGAGATCTGAGGATCATGGTTCAAAGCCAGCCTGGGCAGGAAAGTCTATGAAACTCTTACCTCCAATAAACCACTAGAAAACTGGAAGTGGTGCTGTAGCTCAAGTGGTAGAGTGCTCACCTTGAGCTGAAGACCACAGGGACAGCGCCCAGGCCCAGAGGTTCAAGCCCCATGACAAAAAAGAAAAAGAGAGAGAGAAAAAAAAAAAAAAAACCTGTCTAGCTGGGGGCTGGTGGCTACTCCAGCTACTAATGGCTAATCCCAGCTACTCAGGAGGCTGAGATCCAAGGATCTCAGTTCAAAGCCAGCCTGGGCAGGAAAGTCCGTGAAACTCTTACCTCTAATAAACCACTAGAAAACCACTAGTAATGCTGTGGCTCAAGTGGCAGAGTGCTCGCCTTGAGCTGAAAAGCTAAGAGACAGAGCCCGGGCCCAGAATTCAAGCCTACAACGACCAAAATAAATAAAGAACCTGTCTAAGCCAGGTGCTAGTAACTCATGCCTATAATCCTAACTGCTCAGGAAACTGAGATCTAAAGAACTGTGCTAAGAGGCCAACCTGGGCAGAAAACTTCAAAGTTTACTACACTGTCTCCAAAGTAACCAGCCAAAAAAAGCAGGGCTGTAGGCCTAGCTTAAGTTGTAGAGCACCAGCCTAACAAGTGTTAAAGTCTTGAGTTCAAATCCTAGTACTACAAAAATAATAGTAATAACAATTTTTTAGAAATCCTAGTCTAAAGCGGTAGAGCACTCGCCTTGAGCTGAAGAGCACAATGACAGCGCCCAAGCCCAGAGTTCAAGCCCCACAACCGACAAAAAAAAAAAAAAAAAAGGCAGTCCTCTATCCACCAGAGGGGAAGAGAACAGTTTCCAGTTTTTATTATATTATTGTTGTCGTTGTTGTTTGCTAATACTTGAACTCAGGGTTTGTGCTTGTGCTTGGCTTTTTTACTCATGG